ATTTTTTTTATTAGTTTCAAATAAGATCACATGACGTGCGAAATTTTTTAGACTGGCATTGCTAGTCCCAAAAATAGCATATGCAGCCTCGAATTAACGCCATGCGTGTCCCGAATTAACGCGCATTCCCTTGTAAAAAATAAAAAAGTCAAAGTGCACCAGAACTGGACCTGGTACTGAGTAACCCTCTTTTGTACTCTAACAAAGTTGTTCTCCATGCTGAGACGATTTTGACCGTGTAAAATTATCAAAAACGGCCCATTAGATCGCCTGCAAATGTAAACAAACATTTTAAAATTTTGCGGACGATCTACTAGGTCGTTTTTGATAATTTTACCACCATTAAAATCGTCTCAGTCTGGCGAACATCTTTAGTTAAAGTGCAAAGGAAGGTTTACTTAGCATCAAATCCAGTTCTGGTGCACTTTTATTTCTTATTAACGGTAATTATTATTAAGAGGTGATTTACATAACCTATATTTCGAAATAACGCACATGCGCGTACTCGAAATAATGCGCAGGTCAATTAATTAACGCGCATATGGGCGTTATTTCGCGCTTATACGGTACTAAATCAGTATATAAGAAATTTTAAACATACAACCTATATGTTAATTATCTAAGGTTGGGTAAGAAGAAATTTAAAAGGTAATCTATCCATTAATATAAAAATAATGCTCATACGTATATTTTAAATAATGCACAATAACGTGCAGATGGACGTTATTACGCAAAAATACAGAATCAAATATACAAGACACGACCTTATTTAACCCTAAAAAAAATTATTACTCTTTTAAAATAAATCTAACAATTGTATTTAAATACTTGTCAAAGCAGCTTAAGTGTTTGTAAATCAATTTTCAATATACAACTATGAATTAAATATCTAATAAATTTGCATGCTTTTGCCAAAGAAAAATAGCAATTTGTATTGTTTTGCTTGTTTATCAACTAAAATAATATAACAATAATTAATATTTCTTGAAAGTTGTTTTTGAGAAGATTATTATTATTATTATTATCAAAATCTCGATTAAGTTTCAAATACAATTGTCGCGAAAAAGACGCGAAAAAGACCCGGAAATATTTTACCTTTCGCTACTTGAGAACAACTGATTCAATGTCGATGATTTTGTGCTTAAACGAATGTTACAGACTGTAGGACTTGTTTAAACCCAAGATAATCAAAAATGGCCATTAAACAGTGGCAACCATTAAATTAGTACAACTACAGTAAACAATGATTTTGTTAGTTTAATGTCGATATTTTGTGAATGGCCAATCTGTTTTCAATAATTTCTGTTTTAAACGAATGCTATGAACGTTAGCATTCACTTAAGTACAAAATTATTGAAAATGAATCAGCCATTCCTGGGAAATCAGTGTATCAATGCAAAAGGTGTAATGGTGAATGGCAAATCCCATTTCGATTATTTTGAGTTTAAACGAATCTTAAACTAATTGGAAAAATGGTTTAGCCATTCTTAAATATAGAAGAAATTTGATGTACATTGCTTTTTCCGGATCTTTTCTGAAATGATCGTAAATTTCTTTCGGTTTCATCCCTATTTGTACTTACTTTGTTATTGAGAGATTCACTATGCAAGATTATTATATACGTATTAAGATATAACCTAAGAAAAAGCCAAATAAAATAAAAAAATATATTTAACTTTATTTATTTTGCATAGCTTATTATATTCTTATATAATCGAATAAATTACATATTATATCATACTGTAAATTACTAAAACTAAAACTAATAAATTTAATTTGGTCAATATTGAATCTTTCGATCAGATTAATACAACCCGCCGGCTAGCTTTTTAAGGCCATTTTACGTAATATAGAATACCCTTTTGCCAAATGCATATAATAACTTAACTATATACAATGCATATATTTTTTTGAAACGATATGCACGTGATTACGAAACGAATTGTAACATATAAAAAAAAAACATTAAGAACAAACGCAACTAACACACCTAACTCTTTCAACCATTTTCTTCAAGAACTTCTTGCCATCCGAGATTTTAAATAACGACGATGTAAAATAAAAAACGGGATTCATTTACGAATTAATTATACGATCATAAACTCTTAAAAGGCTTACATATTTGTCAAGCAAAGTTTCCAATTAAGAGTTGATACACATTAAATTGCATAATAATCAAATCCAGGACTTAAATAATCTGACGGCGAATTTGAATTAATTTCCTCAAGATAATTGATTAAAGTTGAAAATGAAGAATGAGGAGACAAATGGAAATTGTCGAAGGCTTGGTTGGTAAAATTATCCAGAATAAGGGAATTAGGTTGTGGATCAAGCATATGAGCGGATAAATCGTTAGTACCGTTACTGTGGATGTGATCAGCGAAAGATGGAAAAGAATTCGACGCACTAAGCTCAAGATTATTTCGAAAAATTGGAACAGGACTTTGAGATGACGATTCAGAAGTTTGATTAAGTTCAAGAATTCTTTCATGTTCATAAAGTGTTTGTTCATGAAATGAAGAAGGCTGATGGATGAGCATTTTGGGCTTTCTTCCTCTCTTTTTGGTTGGTTGTGCGTACTCGCATTTCACACTATCTTTGTCACATTCAAAGCATGTAGCCTCCCCTGAGCATCGAATTCTGCGTCTCCTGCAATTCTGACATGCAGTTGTCACGTATGCTCTTTTTTTTGATTGTTTCGACTTATGTTGATTCATGACGAATTAAATGGAAACGGATTTGATGTGTTTTTGTGAAAACGGAAGGTTAAATAAAAGAATTAAGAATTGGTTTTCTTCTTTACGATGATGATCAGAAATTTTTCTTTTTCTTTGAAACTTAAGCAGAATTAATTTGACCATTCATTCGAAATGTAAAAAGGCAAAGTCTTGAATCCTCGGCAAAAATGAAGATGTTGACGCGCCTTACATTTGTTGTACATATATTATTGTAAAGAACGTTTTACAATTTCAATCAAATTTCAAGAATGAGGACTAATTTTTGTTTCTACGATAAATTTTTCTTATATATTTTTTGAAAAAAAAAAAACGGAGTAAAATTACCGGCCAAATTTCCTTTAGGAATAATTTCGGGTGACATGTCACGTGCTTTTACTTTGAACTATATATGCTATATTAATAATAGTCCTGTTATGTCAAAAGTAATAGGAATTCTCGCAGCGATTGTTAATCACAGACCCTTCATAAGTTTCTATCTTCGTTGTTTACGGCCTTTGACATGTCAGATTACATAAAATTATGTAATAAGTTATGAAATATTCATTAAAAAAGCTTAATGACATTGATTTTAAACAACAAACAAAAATTACCGAAGTCACCCAAAAATAAGCACTCCCCGGAATTAAGCACCTTTGCAAAATTTGCCCGTTTTATAATAATCGTGGCAAACATTTCATGCAAAAAGGGTGCTTCTTTTCGGAGGAATACGGTAACTTGGATCAGTTTTGGCAGATAAGTCATGCTCGGTTTAAAAATCCTCAAATGTCAATGAAAATGGATTGATTAATAATCAAATTTTAACGCACACTCTGAAGTAGAATTTAAAAACAAACTTATTTATATGACTTATATGTCGAATTCTTTTAAATTACCTTTCTCAGATCGAATGAATGAATGTATGCATGTCGCGATATAACGATGACATGATCTACTGTTACCGATCTTCATAATAGAAACTTCCCGCTCTGACCAAATACCCAATGAAAACCTTACAAATTCCTGGAAGTATCATGATCGATTTCTAAATCTTCCTGTCGGACCCTATGGATATTTCTACGGTACATATTGATAAGTAACACCACTAAGTAACATCACTATGATACGTTAACGAATAAAGACAAGATTATAAATATCATATGCACCATGGGAAAATCTTAATAACCGGTTATTTAGCCGTGAAATATGGTATTTTATACAACGTATGTACGTACATACGCAATGCTGTACACTTTCAATCGGTAAATCAGGGTTATGTATATTATTTATTATTAAGGATTTTTTATTGGTTTTAATGATTTCGGAAATTTCGGAAAATTAACTAAACAAATTGTTTTCTTTATTTAGTTGCAATATACTAATAACGGTAATGAGGACCCGATTAATACTAACAGAGGTTATATTGCTGCATTAGCCACTTTCTTGAGCTTTGATTGGTTAAAAAATTTTTAACCAATCAGATTTGCAGTTTTTAAAATTTTTAATTTTAATCACTTTTCACATATAACCTCTGTTAGTATTATTCGGGGGTCCTTAATGACGCAGTATAATCGTCCTAATGCTGCGATGATATTACAATATACCGTAGATTTTTTTTAAACCAATAAAGGTACACTTTTTGACTTTTTGAGCGAAAGAGATATATATATTTTTTTTTATCACATTTTTTTTTTTTTTAGTCGATAGTTTTTATTATGCTCTTTTCAACAATAACTTCGATTTTACAAATTTCAATCGCTTTATTTAGGTAAAGTTCATTCACATTTTTAAAAGAATTTACTACTTATAAAATAGTATAAATCGAAAAATGCTTCTATTACGTTAAAATTTTTCTATTACCAAAATTAATTATTATACTAGTTCGAAAGAAAACTGTACCAAAAGTTATTATTATCCGCAGTAAATTCGGATCTTTACGGTATATGCGACCCAAATTAATGCTTAATTTATTTAGTTTGGAGGCTACTCGAACTTTTAATGGCCTATTTATGAATGTTCATACGTATTGTGCTTTATATAGAATAGTTTATAAAATTTTATACAAAGTTCGGTGTTGAACAATTTACATAACGCATTAATTCTAGTCTAGGTTTATCATAGTATATACCGTAAAGTCTTATTCTTTACGTCATATGGGCGAAAATCTCCAGTTGAAACCAGTGATTATTAAAAATTAGGTGATATTATAATCATGTACTGTACATATAACAAAAATTTATAAGTAATTAGGTTACAATCAGGTACGTACGTACAAAAAACTGTAAGTAATCAAGTTACAATCAGGCACATACGTACAAAAAATTTTAATCAGGTACATGTGTATAAATTTTTAACTGTTAAGTAATTAGGTACATACGTACGTACGTACAAAAATTTATAAGCATCAGGTTACAATCAGGTATAAATTTATGAGTAAAATTCATAAGCGATTCATAAGCGATTCATAAGCAATTCATTATCGGGCTTACAACCTCTGATCAAAAAACACTTTTATTCTCAATAATCATGCCATATCACATAAATGATTGGTTCAAATTTTATTTAACCTAATCACTCGCATTAAATTATCACGAAATTGGAGTTTCGCCCATATGTATGTGTTCATATTTCCTGATATATCATACTTAGCGTTAGATACGTACGTGCGTACCGGGTATAAATCCGATCTTCAAGATGAGAGCAGTTGCTAGCTAGTAAACACCTGCGTTCAACTACGTACGTACGAGTTTGGGTCAAAATTCCGACAAAAAATCCCCGACAACAAAAATCCCGATCCGACAGTTTACTGTAAAATCCCGACAATTAAAACTTCCGATAAAAAATATCATAAACCATAGCTAAACCCTGATCTAAAGTGACCTAACCCTAAAGTTAATTAAATTATAATGGTCTATTTCGCTTTAAACATACCCCATATTTAGGATTTCTACTTGAAAATTCGGATTGTCAGGATTTTTAATTGTCGGGATTTTTTTGCCGGGATCGTATTTTTATTAATGCAAAAGCGATTCTAATGTGATCTACATAACAGGTTTTACTGGTTTCACCTTGACGTTTCAAAATTGTATGAATACCTCATGGATGCGCAAGTCCGACTTTTGCAGTACGTAATGTGTTTAGATTAGATTTTCGTGCATGCAGTAATTATTAATGTTAGGCGGGTGTAACTTCAGGCAGATGTTAATTTCAAGCATGATATTAGATAATGACATACCATACAAAGCATGCGGACATAACTAGGTATTTAAATGGAATACTAAAAGAAACGGGATATTTAGTCAATGCGTTACTTTTTTTATAGCATGCATCGGCACCGGCAAGTCGAAGATTACTGTAATTTGACGCAATTTTATGTATATAACTTCTATAAAAATTTTGCCATCTGATATTGGGACTATATCATTTAAATATCGTTAAATTTAATGATGTAACTCTTCATAGGGATGGCAAATGATTTAAAACAGGATATTTTAAATCAATTTTATAATGATTTTTTATGTTTTAACCCATTGTCACTGATATTGATATCATGATTAATAATACTGATACGGTTACGATTATGATTATAAATTCGAATCTTCCAACTTCTTTGACTTCTGTATCACAAACCGATGTCAAGAAACATGCATATTTCGATTAAGAAATACAAATTTCACGGCGACACTGAAGTTGAAATTAACCAACTAGATACGGTAATTTCAGCTTCATCCATACGCTATAATCAACAATGTTTTAAAATATTGTATTAAAAAACATACAAATCGATTTTTACCACCCCTAACTCTTATTTTTTTCTAAAACTGTATTCTAATTCTAAATTTTAATAAAAATTAAAGACAATAATATTACTATTGGTTAAAGATAGTTATAAACTATAAAAATTATCTTTATATTAATTATATTTCTTTATAATTATAGTTTTTTGTATCTTGAAAATATAATTATATAAAAGTTTAACTATAATTTATAAATAAAATAATCAGATAAAGCTTTTTTCTGATATTTCAAATTTGATTATAAATTTAAAATAAAGAGTTAACAAAAACAATAAAACAAAAAACATACAAAATTTTGAAGTTATATATATATAAATTTTAAATTTTGTATTTTTTTTAGTATTAAGGTGACTTCTTAGCCAGTTTTCTTTATTTAGTTATAGGTTAAGTTTACTATATACTAAGCTCTTCTTAAATAGCCTGTATAGTATATATATTTGGAGAATATATACTTCTATACGTATAATTTTTAATTGTCTATTTAAGTAGTCCATTTATTACTAAGTTTTATACTAGATACTATACCTATAACTTAACTAGATGTTACTTATTTAAACCCTCTGCACTTTATATAAATCAATCTTTTTATAACCAAATGAGAGTAAATCCCTTAAGATATCTAGCTTAAAACTTTAAAATAGGTTCAATTAGTAAACCTTTTGTTCTCAAAGTAAATCTGCTAAAGCTTTTCATACTCACAATCTGGTTAGCCTAAACTTTAGTAACTTATATCAAATCTATGAACAAGTACTTGCAAACTGAAACTACTACTATTATCTACTTCTGCTCTTGTAAAGTTTATCCAAACTTTAGTATCCACTTTACAAACTATTAAGAGTACTTTCTAAATTCTAAATTACCAATTTAAATAGCCTGTGAGAGACTTTTACTTGTAAGTTACTAGTTTTTTGATAACTGCAAATTAAACAGATCTTTTTTTTCTGATTTTAGCAACCTGATTAATAAAAATGTCTCTTTAAATATTTTGTCTATTCAGTTTTTCTGGTTTAAACTAGCTATTTTAAACTACCAATTCAGATAGCCTAAAAGAGACTTTTGTCTATAAGTTACCAGTTTTCTGGTAACTGCAAATTAAGCAAATCTTTTTCTTTCAGTTCTGGCAGCCTGGTTAGTGAAGTATCTTGCTATACATCTTGATTACATTTAGTTTTCAGTTTTTCTAGTAATAATCCTTTATATAGTACCAGCAAAGATTTGTATTACCTCTCTATTCAGGTCTTGCCAAGTGGATATCTATCTCTCTGGTTTCTTGGTTTAATACAGTTTATCAAATAATAATCCTTCTAGATATCTGGTATTATCTTGGTTATAGATCCTAAATCTAATCTATTGATAAGAGATAGTAACTATTCTATAACAGAATATTTAAATTTTATGAATAGTGAGATTTGAACTCTGGACATGCTGCTTGAAGGTGTGACAACTTCGCTACTTTACTAAGTTGCTACATCCTTAATTTTTAAATTTTGTATAAGCTTTAGTATATATATTTTTTTATTTTTTTATTAGATAGTAAACTATTACTTACTTTATATAGTTAAAAATATTTGTCTAATTAGCAAGTTTT